AATCAGGCAGCATAGGCATTTTTGTCCTTGGATTTCCACAGGAAATGTGGCACCTGGTTGGAAACTAACCCTAACTGCTTTACAGCGTGAAAATAGCTCTTCACCACATTCACCTAAGAACTCTCCATCAGCATCTCTTATTAAGGTATGTACGTAAGAACGTCTGGTGATATTTTTTGAGCAAGGTAGATGTTCATTTATCAATATTATGATGCAAAAGAGTCGTGACACGGTAGATTGGTTTTGTCAGTACCTTTTTGGCCTTTATTTGTTATTAGAAATGGTAACATAATTTTGAATAAACCATGGTGTAGACTGAACTTGCGTTGGAACAATTTCAGTAATCTGGGTCCCCCGTAGTTAATCCATAGCATTCACTGATAATTATTGGAGCAGTCTGCCACTCCATGGGATATAGTTTATCCATATATTCTATTCTTGGATTTTCAACCTCCTGCTCTTAAATATGCCCTATTGTAGTTTTGCCCTTGTGTGCACATGCCCAGGGGACTTTCTTTATTATGACTTTCATCTCAAGAGAATCACTGCAAACTGTGTTTACTTTTCCAGGTCGATGACCCGGTTACATCGGTTCGAAATCTATTCACATCTTCTGCAAAGAAATTGAAAAGCAGTCTAGTTTCCAACGAGAGCACCAAGCGCTAGCTAGATTTCCTTCAATCACATATAAACCGGATCGAGCTTCCGGGATTGAATTGCTGCCTCTTCTGAGGTATGAGATACACTCTTTGACAGATGGATTTCATGCCATGCCGTTCCCAATTGCTATACTTCTACAATGAATGCATCTGCTGTTGTATTATCCTCTATTTGTTCTTGAACTAGTTATGGGATTTTGTAATAGTGAAGCGTTTTGACTTGGCCTCTATTGGCAGCTTGTAGTTTTTTGGACCATAGAATTGAATTAGAGTGACAAGTGAAGAGCTGAGTTTATAGTCATAAAATTTGTACATTATTAACAACTGACTGCTAATATGAGCATAGTACATTGGTAATTGATATGTACTCCTTCCTTTGAGGTCGAAAGTTTCAAACTTTCAAATCCTGAAAACTTATTTCTATACATGGATGAGATTAGAAGTGCCAAAATATTTAATTACATATCTATTCAAACTTCATAGAATGAAAATGAAAAGGAGATTACCCTTCGAGGCAAAGCCTTATCTAATAAAGAGTATGAACTTTACCTGAAGTAGGGAGAGGTAGTATTCTCTTTCACTGTCTACACTTGCCCAATCCTGCCCATAGCCTGTTCCAATGACCTAGGCCGAATCATTCATCTCTGGCGAATCTTTGATGGAAATTGTGAAATCCGTTCCATTCGGCTCGGTACCGATACCTTCCTGATCAACCTCGAGCTTCCCTTTCCGGGCTACTAACTTTAACTCGGGGGATGGTTTAAAGGGTCTCTCACAATGATCCCCACAGTTCCAGCCAAGTTCTTAGTTCCAGAGAACTTCTCGTTGACTCTCTTCCATTCATCTTTAAGTGATTCGGATGCTAACTCATTCCCTTCCTCTTTGCGAGCTCAACATCCACACCGTAAGATCTCACTCCACTGTCCTGAACATAGTTTGATGTGATCTTTACAAAGTCTTTACTTCTGTAAACCTAGCAACTCCTGCTAGGGCGTCGTCACCATAAAGGCCAATGATAATGCGACCAGCAGGCTCTCCATCAACGGAGATATGAATAAATGCACGCTTGGTGGGGCTCTGTACAACGAGGGCCTTCTTTGGGATACAATAATTCTTCATCCAAGCTTTCTGCAGCCTCAGCTTTGGAGTGTAAAATGGGTCTTGGCATGAGAGCCGAAGAGAAGAAGAGAGAATTGGTTTCAGCGGTGAGATGGGTCCATATTCTTAGTCGGGCATTCTAACAATTTTTGTATTCTAAAGACAATTTTGAAACATTTATAAAACATGAAGAGTATGTTTGAAACCGAAGAATTATAACAAGCAATCATCTTAGACAATCTGATGTTTTTTTATTATATATATCCTCTTCTTGTCCCTTCCTGCACCATTAGGACCGAAGACAATCTTCGGGCATATTCATAGTATCTTTTGACTAGAAAATTCCGTTCGCATTTAATGTCTATTATTGAAAATACATGGCATCAATGAACAGTACTCAATCATTCCCAATTATGGCATGAGTTATCACGTATTTGTATTTCAATTGTCAATCAACCTACTCACTCATACATTGCGTGCCTCCATTACTTATGCATGTGCCTCTAGCAACCGTTCAGAGTTTGTCTTGCGCTTAGATAACATTGATATCGTTTCACAAAAAGCCAGCATTCCCTCTGTCTAACCCAAATTATGCCCATGACCATTGCAACTATACAGAAAACATCACAAAAGAAACAGGGTGTCGTTTGCACAATAGAAAAACAATAAGTTGCATAGAGAAAGCCAAGTCAACTTTGGATTTCATTTCTCTCTCAATCATATAGCTATCAAAAAACATTCATCACTTAACAAAGGGTGGGGGAAAGGGAATCATCACAAGGCCATGTAATTGCCTTGTTACAACTAATCTGAAGCGAAATCATCACAGCATTTAGAGAGAAAATTGGGTCATTCAGACCTTCATATGACAACACTGCAAGCAACATCTCTTAGTAATAGCCAACACCTTTGAATTCTAATTGAGTGGACTGCTGAACATCGCCTTCTCCCTTGCCCAAAAATACCAGGCGGCCTACATCACAACCAAACTTTTAGGAATGGAGATCATATGTGATCCTTCCGCCATTAATTTCAACATACATGAATGCCAAGTCGCACAAAAGCAATCAAATTCTTTGTAATCCCTCTGGTTCACAGAGGATCAGGCAATCGAAAAAACGAAACAAGAAAAAGGAAAATGGAAAATCAGGGACCCAAAGTTCAAATTCAAACACTAGTCGGAACCCATATAGGTTTTTCAGCCTACGCAAGAAGAATAAATTTGCTCTTTCAGTTAAAAAAATGTATCACGTCCAAGAAATGGCATTTGCATCGGAAAGAGCCAGAATACATATAATGAGGAACTTTACATTCATAAAAACAGGGTGAGTAGAAAAGATTTAAGTGCTGTACCACTGCGACGAATGGCAACTTCTCTAATGCGTCGAACAAGACCAGTGGTTGAATCAGTGAAGATTTTGGTCTCTAAATTCCCCTCCAAATACAAAATTGAACTGGAAAAAGATAAATTTACACTGTAAAGATGAAGCTGCAACAAAGAAATGGGGAAACAAAGACTCCTAATACTATTTTTTGTGAGCAGCAAGGGGTACAAGAATCAGAAAACAAAATAATTAATTTCCATGGACACTGTCAATACTTTGATTAAGATGGTCACAGAAATTGATGGCAGAACATGCTTACCCGGGCACAACGTGCTTCATGACAACATCGCCCAGTCTCTGAGGATAAATCGAAACCCGGTGCCACTGAACTGCGCACCGGTTTGCATACTCTCTGGGCTCCTCATTAGCCAAGGGTCTCCGATTATTACGAATACCACCCGTACCAACTGATAACAGCGTCACTGTTCTCCCACTTTTCAGCTGCTTCTGCAATGGACTTTGCCCCACCTGCCCCACCAATATAGCCTTCACGAAAACACGAAATGCCATTAAGATTAAACTGTAAGCAATCAAATATCAAGAACCGAAAGTCCCAAAGCAGTCGTATATCACCGTACCTTATAAATGCCAGCATCGAGGCCATTTTCCAGAGGTCGATTATAGATGGTTCTCGTCTGGGATGAAGACTGGGACGAGGACGGTGAGAGAGAAGGTCGATTAGATACTGAATGTGAGCCCAAGTCCATGTCCGAGTCAATACTGGACTCGCCGATGTCTGAGACCGAGCGGAAGGAAAGGTTCTTCGAGCTATAGATCACGGGCAGGATGTCGTGGTGATGAGAAGCTTTAGAATTCGACAGGAAGGAGCGGAAGAGCCTTCTTGACAGAACAGCCATGGAGGTCATCGTCTTCGTAGTTGACAATCCAAAGATAAATGCAGAAATTCAGCGAAATAGCTTAAACCCTAAAAACCCTTCAGAAAGTAGACCCGACTCCGAGTTTGGACAGTGATACGGGTTGAGCTTCGGACCATCTTCAAATTTTATTTCAATTTTCAAAATATTTAATATCCCTTTAAAATTTTAATTTTGTATTAAATTGGGCCTTAAATAAAGTTTAAAATTTATGTTTAATTTATGAATAAATTTATAAATTTAAGAAAATTCAAAGAATAAATTTATACTTTAAAAAGGTACTAAATCGTATTATTTTATTTTTAATGTTTTTAAAGTCTAGAAATTTATTAAACACAAAATAAAAAACGTCAATATCAATAACCGTCGTATAAGAGTTATAATACTAAACCTAGGTTTAATGTAACTGTAATTAAAAACATAATTCACTAATATTTTTGTTTTAAATTAATGTTGTTTTAGGCATAAATGTTGAATATTTGGTCACTAATATTACATAAATTAAAAAATTAGATGATGATGTAACATTTATATTTAAAAAAATATTAATGAATTTGGTAGATAAAGCATTGTCTATCTTTACACCAAATACTATTTTTTTTTTTTTTTCTTTTATCCTAATTCAATATAAATTATATTTTATCGTACAAATTAAATAAATATATAAAAAAAAAATGCAAAAAGTGGCTTTTAGTTTATTTTTTGAAGCAAAATATCCATATATTATGGCTTATAACTTCATGACAATAATATGAAGAACAAACAAAAGCGAACAAACTACGTGACTGCACGACCCATGCTCTCCAATTTTTTAAACATGATTTAATTTTATATAATAAGGATGTGGCAGTATGATGAATTATTTATTCCGAATTATAGTGTCCGTACACGTGGCAGATCATCCTGTTGCTTCTTGAAAACTCGAAACACTAAATAAAGAAGAATATGAAAAGTATAAAAAATTTAGATCGAACCTTTAACTAACACAAAATCTTAGAAGAAAAATAAAAGATTACAAAATTTGTCTTAGGAGATTAAAGCTTGTAGCTCTCTCAACCTCGTTTCCAGATAAAGTCATGAGTTTGTGGGTTTGAGAGAGAACAGAGCGTCTCAGAAATCTAAAACTAGCTTTGAGAGGGTCTTCAATGGCAGACGCGCGAGAGATTTGATCAAGTAATTCCGCCATTAAAACTGGAGCGAAGAAAAACAGAGTATTATCCTTACAGAGCGACAGAGGCCCACGAAGCGCCGCAGAGCAGACAGCAAACCTTCATATTTTAAACCTCCAAAAAATGTCAAAAGTTGAAAGATCAACCTCCATTTAGCGACAGCAAAATCCCAGTCCAAACGCTACAGAATTTTCCCATCTATTTCCTTTCGGGTCTCTCAATTAATTGCCCTCTCTCTCTCTCTCTCTCTCTCTCTCTCTCTGTCAATTCAGCCATGGCGAGATTTGATTTACAGAGATAGGGCTTCATAATATACGAATCCTTAGTTTCGTTTCTCAAATTTGAACTCATAGAAACGCGAAAAGAGCGATGGATTTGAGGAAAATCGTGGTGATTGTTGAGGATGTTGAAGCAGCTAGAACGGCATTGAAATGGACGCTCAATAACCTAATGCGCTACGGCGATTTGATTACTCTTCTCCATGTATTTCGCACTACAAGATCCAAAAGCGCTTCCAAACTTCGTCATCTCCGATTGAACGGCTATCAATTAGCCCTATCCTTCAAAGACCTCTGTACCACTTTCCCCAATGTAAGTTTTTCGATTCCAGATTTAATCGTCTCCTCGTTGTTTCTTGATCGCTTTTGTTATACTGATGATTTGGGTAACGATAACCATTTTATAGGGTTATGTTACAGACAAAGGTAGAGATTATTGTGACGGAAGGCGGCGGCGGCGGCTGCGACGAAGAAGGTAGAAAGATCGCGGCCGTGGTTAGAGAGATTGGAGCTTCTGTACTTGTGGTCGGCCTCCATGACCGCAGCTTTCTGTACAAGTAAGTTTTCAAAATTAATCAATCATTCCACTGTCTAATTAAGCATTAAATTCACCGTGTTGTGGATTAATTTTTTCTGGGGACTCCGGGAATCTTCATTAATTATGATCCTGATCGGCCATTAATGGCACGGGTCCCGTCCTGTCTGCTTGCTATTTCTTGTACTGAATGGGTGATAAAGCCAGAGGGAGCTTCTGTTCTTGATGTTCCAAAAGTTGAATCAAAACAGAGGATTCAGTAGTCAAAGTTTCTGGGGAATTGCTGAAGAAATGGTCAATTATGTTAGGTAAAGAGAGTAGCTGGGTGGGTTTAGATTTTTGATCTCTGTGTTTATTACTTAATTATCACCCATGATCGTTGCTCAGTTAGGATTTTGTGGTTTCATTAATGGCGGAGGAGTGGATTTTTCCATTTATTGAAGAGAAGAGTTAATTATCACAACTTTTGGTGGCTTCTTTTGGTTTGGTATTCATCACAAAAACGGCTCCTACCTGACAAATTTTATTATGAGCCCCAAAACCAAAAAAGTGCCAATACTTTTTTGAACTAATGGATGGGACCCATTTAATCAAACTCACCCTTTGCATCCACAAAAAAATATGTTGCGCAGTAGCATACACTCATGGTCTGTTTTGGCTACCTAGTTAGTTAGTACATATTATCTGTTTCTTAACAAATATAGGCTCACAACTTTAAAAACAAGTCAACTCAAATGGGAGAGTTTTTCGTATCTTTGCTTCGTGGAATCTTACAATCCACCCCATTGGAGCTAGCATCCTCACTCTGTCACACCGCCTAATACTTAACTCTGATACCATTTGTAATAGTTTAAGCCCACCGCTTGCCGATATTGTATGCTTTAACCATCTTTGCTTTGGTACGTCAGCCTCGTAGTTTTAGAACACGTCTAATAGGGAGAGGTTTTCACACTCTTGTAAGGAATGTTTTATTTTCATTTTCATTTTCAACCGATGTGGGATCTTACAATGTCGGCTGTTAAACACATTGGTGTGGTGTGGATGAGATTGTTTGTTTCGTTTTCTTCATATTAATAGGCATTGGTTTGTCGACATAGGATGGCTGTGGAGGAAGATGATATAGCAAGGAACTTCAAATGTAAAGTTCTGGCAATCAAGAGCTCGACAGAAGAATCACAGAAAACCAAAAACGTGGAGGTTATAGCAGCAGCGGATACGGGCAGTTCAACAAACATGGACTTTTCCCAGATCGAGATTGCCAAATTACAGTAAGAGCTAACACAAGTCGATTGAATTAAATACCATATATTCTTGATTCATCTGAAATTTAAAACAAATTTTGCAGAGCACCTGAAATTCCTCCGCAGAAAATTCCATACAGAATCTGCCCCGACCCTTCTGCCATTATTTGGAGATCCAAGAGATCAAGAACAAGGTGGACCTTGTGACATCGGGCCTCTCTCTTTATTTATCTTCTACTCCTTCATTCCACTAATGCATCTTCTCTCTCGCTTTACACACCCTCTTAGACATCCCCAATAATGGAGTTTTTCTTTTCTTTTCTTTTCTTTTTTCATGGAGGTTTTGAGGTTGTCTTTGTTAATATCATAAGCCCTACTCACCACACACCCGTAATAGATTGAAAACTACGCTAAATTTGTAATCCATTTTATCTGATTTATATATATGATTAAGTTATATATACTTATAATTTAACTCCAATAATGTGTTTAAATTAATATAATTTAACTCTGAAAGAATTAATAATATTTGATAGGTTTATAAATTTAAACATATTCAACATTTTTAATAATATCATTAAATGATTGATGCAAGTATTTGAAATATTATGAGTTGACCTCATCCTCCAAGTGGATGGACCTTGCATTTTTTTAAATGTTTATACAAATGGCTAGGTTACCCAATGTTTTGAAAAAATCAATTCTTTATGTTCAAATATATAATTCAAGAGAATTCAATTTAAAATTAAATAAAAATAAACTTCTTCAATCTACTCGGTTAATAATTTTCTATTGTTGGCCTATAGATTAAACAGTAAAATTTCAAGGGGAAAAAATGCTACCTTATTCTTAAAACCAGATTCTGAAAATTATATTATATTTAACATACACCCAACAAAATTATTTTCACTCTATTACTATACAAACGAGAAATTTGCAAAAACACGGCCAAAATAAAAACGAAGCCACATCCCAATTCTCATCCAATCACATGCTTAGGTGACCTACCTGAAATCACCCCCGCGTGACGCTAAGATTCTGAACCTCTCTGTGAAACTCAGTAGACCTGGCGGGGACTGGTTGCGAGGAAGGCAGGCAACGGACTGGCACGTGGCGATCGTAAAGGCACTTCGTTCAGCTGTTTCCCGTTACTATCGTAATAAATTACGCCCGAGAAATTCAACGGTTCACACTTATCCCCCATCATGATCGCCTTCTGCCAGACTCCGCCGTCTCCCCACTCCTCTTCCGTATCGCCGCTGCCGTGCTTGTTTTTCTTCTTCTTCTTATGGATCAGCGTGATCGCCGTGTTGCTTATGCTCTTCAGAAGCCGTTTCGGGCAAACCTGCGATGATAGCAACTCCAATCGCGGCAATTGCTTCGATTTCAGTTTCGTTTGAAGCTTTTTTGATGCTCTGTTCGCATGCTTCGCACAGAGCGCTACCAGAGTCGATAAAGAGACGAGCAAGGTCGCCGCCGCTCGCCTTGGAGACGCCAGGACGGAGCCACCATCGGAGATGGAGGTGGAACCGCCGTGTTCCGGTGTGGCTTGACTCATGCTGGAAGTAATCGGAAACGGAAAGGTAAACGAAAACTTCGGATTTAGGGATTACTGAGATGAAAATATGGAATGGAGGTTCAAAAGCGAGAAATTTGGCTTGTATTTATACAGTCGAAGTGGTCCCGGTTCTATTTAGAACATCTACAAAGAAACGACACCGTATTACACTGGTAGGTTATTTTAATTTATTTATTCTGCAGCATTCAGCTCAAACTGTAGCTTTGAAATTTATTAAAAGAATAACGGAAAGTGGGGTTTTTATTTAATTTTTTTATTTGCGTAAATATACGAGTCAATTATCATCAACGGACCAGATTTTAAGATATGGGGCAAAGGAATATCGTTTCTATATTTTTTAATATGTTAAAAAATAAATAAATTGTTGATATAAACCCATTTATTTTCAGTAATATAAAATAATAAAAAAGGAATCTTTATCGAATTAAAGTTGTTCAAATTTAAATATTCCACGCAAATTAAATAACATAATTATAAACGTTGAAATACTTATAAAATGGTTGAACATTAGTATTTATAATTCAAATAAATGTTTGGTTGGTTGAATCTATCAAAGTAGTTTTAGAGTCTAGAGTCATCTCATCTAGATGCTCGTTAGCTTAAACTTTAAACTTTCAAGATATATATTTTTTTTTAAATAAAAGAGAAAAAAAAAAACCTGTAGTAAATTTAATTTTCCGTTTTTATATTGTATTCGTTTACGTGTGCCATATTCAAAATTATTGAGAGAGGTTGATCATGAATTTATAAGTAATGAATATATTTCTATTGGTACAAATTTTTTTTTGAAAAATCAAAAGTAAATATACGGATTATAAATAAGTAAATCACTGTTAAGATTTGTAATTCCTAACATGATTATAAAATTTTACCGTCTAAAATATCAACTTTTTAATTAATTAATTTAAAATAATTAGTGTGCAAATTTGTTAATTATGTCTAAAAAATTAGTAGAAAATCAAGAATAAAATTTAATTATCGGTATAAGTTTTTAAGTTGGGTTGTGATACGAAAGACAACGTGTGTAAATATTAAAGGGAGATAGTGCAAAAACCATGCATTTTTATCGCTTTAATTAATTAATTATTATTATTATTATTTTGGTTTAATTGTTCGATGTGAAAATCGTGGTGGATTTTCACGCCCCACTAAATACAGCACTGGACGGGGGGTGTGCTAGTGGGTTGATTGTGATTGCCACGTGTCGGTGAGGGAGTTAAAAAGTCAAGCAAGAAAAGGCTGCCACGTGGGAATTTTAATGAAGTGGGGAAAGTGCGTTGGGAGGTGGAGTCGTACGTTGACTCAGCTTGCAACTTGGCATTTTTGGTGTTTCCTATTACTTTCGACCCCACCACTTTCGGTATTTCAAAATTGGCCCTACGGTCGACATTATCAAATATTGTTACCAAAAATGACTTTAAAAAGCATATGATAAAATTAAAATCATTAAAGAAATAAATTATAAAATAAGTTCCAATCTCTTGTAAAATGTGAGGTATTATTAATAATGGAATCCAACCAGTTTGATTTGGAGAGAAAGGTCTTTCCTATTTGGCTTGCACTTCAACTCCAACATTTTGATTGCCTTCAAAGATTTATTTAATCATTGGATTAGGTACAATTTTTTTTTTTTTTTCTGTCTAACTCTGAATAATACATATTAGTACGATGTTTTTTTTATTTTCTAAAATGAATAACATCATACTACTGTGAATGTTCCTGACTCATATCATATTTTCAAAATAATATTGAAAATTTTCCTTAAAGGGTATTCCAAAGGTGTAATCTAGACCATAAAAACGGGACTCGACAAACCTGAAGAAAATCGTAAATTTATAATTAAATATGGAAATTGATATTTGAAGAATTGGAAAGTGACTGAAAGGCAAATGACGCAGGTTGGTTGGGACGTTATTAGGTTATATATTAGTTGCTGTTATTATTTAATAGGTTGAAGAAGTCAGATGAGATGGCTTAATTAATTAGGTCAGCTCTCCCTTTGTCATTGTCTTCATAAATGCAGCAAACTATCTAAACCAGTTGCGGCTGTGGCTCATGCAATTCAGTTCAATTAAAGAAACAATTAAGGTCAAATTACTTGTGATTACGCCTTAAAATACTTATTAATTAAGGATATAAAATGGTTGAATCAGGAATACTACACAAATAATTGGCTCTTTCTCTCATCTAAAGGCCATTAAATAGGTTGCTTAGAACTAATCGTCTCCCACACCCTTCCAAAAACTATCAAAATTTTAGGATGGGTTGATATTAACCTAATTTAGTACTTCAAATCCTTGTACGCTCATATTTATCGTACCAAAGAATGGATGCGAGTTGAGTTCAAGTTCAATTCTTTTTTGAGCCCTCGGGAAGGGTTTTTATTTATATATGTAATTATAAAAAAAAACAAAAAAAAAAAACACAAAAAGGACCAAACCAAAAAGAAAAAAAAGAAGAAGCATGAAATGCATCGAAGAAAGATGCTGACATTTCCACATGAAAAAAGTTGTGTCGATGGAGCAAGTTGTAAAATGATGCAGATGAATTGTCTTAGTCCGAATATATCGTAATTGAACGGTCGATTATAGATCTCGATTCTTCTTGGGCACCCTTGATCTTAGGTGACGATCCCATGGTGATGTCAAGATATCGTGTCGTCCAACTTCATGACACCCCATCAAATTCTAATTTCCATTTAGTTTTTATATTCTAAAATATTAATTTAGGGTTTATTTTACATACGTATCATTTTTATTTTATTTTATTATAGTTTTTTTCTTATCTTCAAAATTCAATCTTGTTTATATTTTAAAGTTTTGAGTTAAATTTTTAATCCGTATATTTCAAAAATTTATACTTATATTCAACCAAAAAATATTTATTTTTCCAACATTATATTTTATGGAAATAATAATTAAAGCACAAATTTTATTTCTACCAAAAAAAAACTTAGAAAAATTGTATTGTGACGTCAATCTAATTCATTCAAAATTGGCATGCAATGTGCATGGATGAATTGGGCCGCTAAGACTTCACTCGGCCCATACTATAATGGGCTCAATGCTATAATATCATCCGGTTGGGTTGGGTTGGGTTGGACAGATATTTCGTATGTATAATTTTGTTATTATTTTTTTTCGGCCCATTTGTATAATTTTTTAGAACTACCCATTAAGATAATTAATTAATTATATATATAACTAGACAGAACATACAATTAATCGGCCTTTATAGCTTCCAATCAACGGAGATCGTTGGATTAAATCTGTTGAGGAGTGGACGGTTGGATTAGAAAGACTAGAACAGTAAAAATAGGGCACAGAGTTGCTAAGCGAAACCCATTTGATATAAAATAGCTGGTCGAAATTGTTACTATAAATCCCTCGCGTGCGCTTTCGGATTTGGATCGTGTGTTTTTGTTTCCCAATCCCCTTCCCAGTTCCCAGGCTATGTGCTTGCTATGGCCAAGCCTCGCAAGCCCAAGAACACCGACGACTCGAAGCCACCTGACAACTCCGGAGCTGTAGTTCGTCACCAGAAGCTTTGTCTTTCCATCGACATTGACAAGCGTCGCGTTTATGGGTTCGTCTTAGCTCTACCTCCGTCAATTGTCATCGCTACTCCTTCCTTCCATCTTCCCATTTGCGTTCTTTCTTTGTGGAATCGTGGTTTTGTTTAACTTTTACTTGTATATTATGCTTCACAATTTTTTTTCCTTTGCGTGTGAGGTTGTAATTGGCTTTTTTCTTTGCTTAATCTTGGCCATCGATACTCACCATTCCTGTTGCTGGACTTAGGTTCACCGAGTTGGAAATCGCGGTTCCTGATATTGGCATAGTTGGGTTGCACGCGGAGAATCTTGGGATTGTGAGTGTTTCAGTGGATGGCGACCCTACTGAATTCGAGTATTATCCGCGGACTCAACATGTGGAAAGTGAGAAGAGTTATAAAGCAGTGTCGTCGCCTAGCTCTGCTGCAGATGCTGCGGGGTCAATTTATTTATCTTCAATCGAGAAAGAACTGGTTCCTAATTTGTTGATAAACTGCTGCAAGGCTTTCAAGAATGGAAGTGAGAAGCAAGACCAGCCATTTCTGGAGAATGGAGTGCAACCAGCAGTCGAAGACAAGCAGGTTGTAGCTGTTAGTTATTGTTATGATGTCAGTCTTTTTTATAATGGAGAATATTCACGTGGATGCTAAATGTGGTTCCCCAGTTTGGTCTTCAATCCATTTATTTGTTACTCCATGTATTATGACATGCAAAAATTATTGTTATGAAGTGTATTATACATGATACTCTGCTCTCCTCTCTTTGTGGTCTGGTCGCTAAATTTATTAGTCATTCAGTTCCTATCGCTTGCTAAATGCCTGGTAAGTATATTGAAGCATACATATGTAATGAGAAGAACTAATCATCCGTTTAGTAGGTGATAGATTTGTAAATGAAGAAGTTATCTTTGATTTGTAAATGAAGAAGTTATCTTTGTTTAATCATCCATTTTTCCTACGAGTAGAAAAAACCCAGTATAATTCTTGCTTAGTTCAAACTACGGAGATTGGGACATTGAGGTTAAGGTAAAGAAAATTGTACGTGAATAAGTAGATTAGTTTCAAGTTGTGAACAAGTCGTTCTTTTCACACGAGGGCCGTGTGCATATCACTAACCAAGATAGGCAGTTATAATTAACGTAAGTCTACATACTTTTATGAGAACCAAGGAAAAAGGTTATCTTAATGATGCTTATGAAGGTACTGGAGCTCTATTATAAGTCTTGTTTATGGAATCTTACATGTTGTTTGTGTTTTTTTGTTCAGGTTATTTATTTCTTTTGTGGCTTCTCATAAAGGTTCATATTTGACGCAGAATATAAGGCTGGTTCGTATTGATTACTGGGTAGAGAAATCAGACGTAGGTATTCACTTCAATGATCATATTGCTCACACGGACAACCAAATAAGGCGTGCAAGGTGCTGGTTCCCTTGTATGGATGATGGCCTACAACGATGCAAGTAAGGATACCATTATCTAAATGTGTTATCTTGTGACAATT